TACCACCTCCCCCGGCAGGGCTGCTCAGGATGCCAGCTCCTCCGGCTGCACAAGCATCGGGCCCTGCTCCGTGAGCTAGAGCAGGACCTCTGTCCACAGTAAAACCCCAAGGACCGACCGTGAGGGGTTCCATCCTGCCAAAGGCAGCCGTGCTCAGACACGCCCGCCCAGACAATATCATACGGCACAGCAGCGGAAGCTGGCTGATGGATGCTCCGCGACTCCTTTCTCCCGTAGTCCTCTTTGCCTGGCTCACAGCCAGTTTGGTTCCCACAAGTAAACAGGACTCTGTGACGTAGCCAAGATCTCAGCCAACTTTATTATAGCACTGCCCACCCCAGAGCTTACAGTCTACGGGCAAAGGACATTTTCGGAAGACCAAGTGGTTGGTCTAGTCCAATGTCGTGGCCCTTCTTGGACTGGTGCTGTTATCCCTTCGCTGGACCTCTAATAATTTAGATTTAGAGATGGAAAAGCCTGGTGGAGCAGCAGCCTCTGCCAGTGCAGGATTGGTTCTCCCTTGCACCTTTTCTAAGTGCCCTTCTCAGCGTAATCTTATGTCCCAAATTGCTCCATAGAACTTTTTCAGCATTTTTTCCCCCATTCCTTACATGTCGTAATGCTGTGTCTGCTCTGTTGCCTGCAGCTGCACGCTGAGCAGACAGATTTTCATGGAGATGTCGATGGTGATGTGCAGGCCACTTTCCCTGAGTGGTTAGTTGAGCTTATTCCCTCCCATGTGCATTGCTTTGCATTTGCCAGCATTGGATTTCACTTGCCATGATGTTGCTCATTCACTGAGCTTGGATAGGTCCCTCTGAAGTTCTTCAGTCTTCTCCGGTGTCAAGTCACCGAAATAAGGGTTTGATGCAAAACCTTTGGAAGTAAAGTGAAGCCTGGCCATGGACTTCACTTAGCTTTGGCTCATGCCTTAATTCTGGGCCATCTGCAAACTTTGTCAGCTTACGACTTGTTGCCTTGTCGAGATCATTAATAAAATGCAGCCCTACGAGGTGGAAGGAGTGGGTGCCATCGGGGGAGCGACTGGGGCAGGTTAATCTGTCACTGGCCTAAAACTCCTGTAAAAACCTGCAACCCCCAAAGGACAATGGCTCGGGAGGCTGAACAGCTCCTCGGTTTTAGCAGCGTTTGCGACTCCACAGCAACGAGTTCTGCTGTGACTTTGTCGGGATGAAATAGCTTTGGCCTTAGCCCCAGGTCTGATGATTTGACTCCACATAAGGAGGGAGCTGGGTGCTTGAACTGACAATTTGCTGACTCGTCATGGAACACTTCTGTTTCTCAGGCTGGGATATCACGCCGAGAGCAGCTGATGCTGCTGTGAAATGGATGGCAGGCATCTGCGGGGTGGGGACTGCTGGCTACTTTAGGAGAATATGTTTCCTTTTTTCTGCAGCCTGCTAATGAAGGGAGGAAACATCTTGGCTTTGGGTTTTTTAAGAAATGAAGACCCTCTAAGAAGACACAATGGGCATTCCAACCCTAAGCTGTATGGAGCCCCTGGCTCTGGGACAGTTCAGATCTAGAACCAAACTCTGGGGCCTGAGCCACATCTCGAGACTGTACAAACCCTCCGTGATGCAGGTTGCAGACCCACACTAAGGCTACGGGGGTGATGGAGCAGGCCTGGGCCGATCAAGCAGCTGCAGAGCGTGCTGCATATGGAGGACTTGCTTAAGAGGGGACGCTGCAGGCAAGCTGGGGGATTGTGATGGAGAGGCTGTCTGTGGGTAGGAAGCCAATCAGTAGCTTCTGGGACAGAGGAATCCACAGTGGGGCCTGGGCTGTGGGTACGGCCCGACCAGGTGCCTGACCCCTTTTCCCCTTCCATTCCCCCCCACAAAGAGGAATCACTGCACATTGGGACGGGGGCTGGGGAAGCCCTGATTGTCTGAATAATTTAGGCTGCTTGAGCAACCCTCCGCTGTGCCGTGACCATGACCGAAACCGCGGGGAGAACAGAGGAGGTAGGAAGTCGCCAAGGGGAGGTTGGTCTGTGGTATCAGCTAGAGGGGTGTGAGACCCTTCTCACCTCTTCCCCCTCGGGCCCTGGCCTGGGACCTATTGGAGAGGGAGGGCCCGGGTCCCCCAACTGTTCCCTTGCCCTTGTCCGACCATGGGAACCTGGAGACTGTAACTTGGCTGCCAGCCCCTCAGGTTGCCCGATAAGGCTACCGCAGGATTCTGGGATTGCGGAGCCATGGCCAGCCGGCCCCTAAGCGAACCCTGCTCTCCCCTTGTTTGACGAGAGGTGGCTTCCAGGTTGTCTATGAACACACGGGGATTTGTGATTGGTTGCAAGTAGCTGCTCATCTGCTGCATTGTGAACCCAAACACCAGCGCACGGGGGCTCAGTGAAGAGAGACGGGACTGGAAGTTAGGACCCTGCTTCCGTTCCGTGCCCTGCAAGTGACTCCAGGCCGGTCACGCGGGGGAAGTGGTTTTGAGATCCAGGGCTGAAAAGTGCTATTCTGGGCACTGCAGTAGTGGCCGGAGGCCTTGTTAATCTGGGCACTGTGCACCTGCAGAGGAAGAGATGGTCCCTGCATTAAATCTAATTTAAGACAAGACTTGACAAGTGGATGTACCAAGCGATCCCTGGGGAGAGGGTGATGAGAACACAGGACTGCATAGGCTAGCTCTAGGGTGACCAGACAGCAAGTGTGAAAAATCGGGACAAGGGGTGGGGGGTAATAGGAGCCTAGATAAGAAAAAGACCCCAAAATCGGGACTGTCCCTATAAAATCGGGACATCTGGTCACCCTAATCAGCTCAGTGAACTGCAGGTGTCAAGTCAAAAGGTTTTTGTTGTTGAGGGTCTCCAGGTCTAAGCACAAAGGTCCGAATGCTTCCCTCTTACACAGAGTCAGAGCTCCACTTGGGTGAGTGGAGTTTAACCATATGTTGTTAGAATTAGTGCATGAGAACCAGGAAGTGAAACTGACCAGTCTGGCTTCATCAGCCAAAGGGAGTGAAATGGAAATAAAGGAAACAGATGACGGCAGTGGAAAGAGATTATTTTAAAGATTATTGATATTATTGTAAAGGGTTCCCTCATACACACGCAGCTGGGTAAGGGCTGGTTCTCCACTCACACCTGATTAACAGCGTACCTCTGCCAAGGCCTCTTATGGGCCTCAGCCAAGTCAAGGGCTCCATTGTGCTCTAGGCATAGTAAATGACAGAGCCTGTCCCCACTTGTTGTATCCTTGTAACGAGGCCTGGCTGAAAATTGACTTTCATGGGAGCTAGCTGTGGTTCTTCTGTCAGCTGGGCTATATCGCCCATCATGCCTCAGAGCCAGGGACTCCCATGATGCAATGCCTCCCCTCTGCAAGAAGGGGGACTGAGGTGCATCATGGGTGATGTAGACTGATCTGGGAAACGGAAATATTTGGGGTTTTCAGCCTAAAATGTTTTGGTACTCACATTTGTGCAGAAAATAAACATCTTCTGTGGGAAGAGAGCCCCCGTCTGTAATACTGCGGGGAGCTGAGGAGAGTCAAGCTCGGGATATTTGAATAGCTTCAGCATCTGCCTGAGAAATGGAGATTGCCTCCTGCCTGTGGGAAGGATCAAGTGGCCCCGTCCCCAAACCCTCTGACTTTAGCTAACCACTCAGCTACACCAGTAGCCCTTCATTCGCTGGAGAGCAGCTCTTCACACTGGGCTAGCAGTTCTCAAACCGCGCGCACAAGAACGGGCCCCTGCTGTCCTTTTTGAGAATTAAAGCGAGACCTTTAAAGACCTCTGGTGCTTGCCTGGCTGGTTCTTGCTGATGTGCTCAGGAGCTAGTTGATCACCCTGTGTGCAGTCGGGAAGGGATTCCCCCCAGGTCACATGGGCACTGACCTTTGGGGGTGTTTTTTTCTCCTTCCTTTGCAGCATGTGGGTGCAGGTCACTCGCTATCATCGGGGTATGTCTCATTTAATTATTTCCCCGCCATGGCAGGGGCCTCGGGCATTGGTGCACCTTGGAGCCTCCTGTTCTCTGCCTGTGGCATAGTCCAGTCTCCTGTGGGCTGTAATACGTTGCTCTGATTTGGGTTGCTGGGTTTATATACAGGAGGCCAGACTGGGTGACCTAGTCCCTCCTCTTTTCCATTGTCTCCTAAAGGCGCATTGAACTTGTTCTGTTCAGATGTGGTCCATTACGCGTCACTGTACTGTTTGAAGCTTATCTAACGGACTCATGTGGCTGCATCCATACCCACAAAGGCTTCCCCCTTCTGCCTACCCAGCCCGGGCCTAGTAGGTGAATAAACGGGCTGTGTCAGGCCAGCAGGGGGCGAGAGGGGCAGGAGTTGTAGCATCTCTGCTCACCTGTGCAAAAGCCAGGAGTCATCGGGAGGGTTGAAACCCAGGCCCTCAAACACCACACGGCTGACATCTGCTGCTTGCGTTAAAGGAGTAACTCCCTCCGCTGGCAGCAGTGGTAGGCTGTATTCACTAGAGGGGGATGTGACACACTCTGTGTTCATGTACATTCCGGTATGGCATGGCTGAAGCTCGGATGTGCCCCCGAAGCATGAGGGGAGCTCTGACCTGCACCCAAATTAGAAGCCAGTGCTGGTTACAAGGCACCTACTTTCCCCAGGCGGAGAGCTTTGTGAAGCACTGGGAGGCCGTGTATTGCGGTAGCCATGTTCCACTCCAGAGGTGGCTGCATTTCAGCTGTGGGGAGGGGGAGCAATTCCAATCTCTCCTCAGTAAAGCCCTTTGGATGCAATGTGCTGCAGGGGAAGGTGGTTGTTAATAAGACGCTGACCGGGGGTGAGTTCTGGGGGCAGCACTGGAGTGAGACCGGTTGTGCATTGTCCTGCAAGCCAAGCAGCCAGAGTGGGATGGGTTCTACCCAAACCCAGTTGTCTGGCATCAGAAAGAGAAGGGTCACTGAGCATTTCCAGGAAACCCAAACTCCCCTGCGTGGAAATGTGCAACCTGGCCAGCTGCCGAGCACACACACGCTTTGGAGTTCACAGGCCACAAGCAGAGCCAGCCCCCTGCTCTCACGCAGCTCTGGGCAGCTGGAGTGGAGATGATGATGATGATGATTGCCTGAGCCTGTTCCCCACACTGGCTGCAGCAGCTGTGTACGGCTCCGTCCTGAGCTGTGCAAGCCTGGAGTAGGAGGCAGTGTTGCTCAGAGCCGAGCGAGGGTGGATCTCTCTCCCTAGAAGCAAGAGGGGAAGCTGTCAGTGGGAGAGATGGAGCAGCCGTGTCTGAGAGCAACCTCCCTCTAAGGGATCCTCTGTGTGTGTGTGTGTGTGTCCCTGTGCCTTGGATTCCCGCCTGTGCCCGTAATCTCATGGCTGGTTTTACATCCGTGCACAACAGCTGGGTCTGTTCCATTCTGTGATCTCCAGAAACAAAGGCACTTCAGAGCTGGACGGACACACGCCCAGCCGCCTTGTTGTTATTAGACACGGAGGAAGGCGACAGCCCCGTGGAGTTCGCTGCGTCGTCTGCAGCTGGGGTTTGTGTGGGTGAGAGCGCGAGCAGCAGTTCCTGCCGAAAGAGACCGCTTCCTTGGCTCCAAATTAACATCTAGTAATTTTCCACACCTCTCTGCTCCTTCCCTGACTCCCTGACAAGTGGCTGGAAGGTTGGCCTGGGCCATGGGAGACAAAGGAACCAGGTTGGTTAATATATATTTTTCTGCAATGTGGGTTATTCTGCTGCAGATGGTGATTCTTGCTCTTGCATTATTTGGATATTTGCTGGACTGTAGATACCGCTAAGGAGCTGCCGTTCAGCCTGCTAATCCCAGTGCATTTCTATCCACTAGGATTTTTTCGGGGGGGAGATCTAGGCATTTGCTTTGTGTGCAGAGCTGCAGAGCTGTGTGTGGTATTTAATGGCACAGGAGAGAGAATGCAGACTCCAAGCAGTCCGCTCTCAGATGAGGCGTTCTCTACCTAATGCACATTAATAGCCCAATGCATCACACATTATCCTGGGCTCTCGCTCTCGGTAGGCATCTGCCGCTAGCCAGGGTGCCCAGCGTACGTCGCTTTGTTCGACCGGAGCGCTGCAGCTCCAGCCCTTGGGAGATGAGACAGCGTAGGCTGGAAAAACTGGACTTTTCAAAAGTGGGTGGCCTCCTTTGGGTTTTCTCCCTGGCCTGATTCCCCGAGGAAGAGACGAATAGACCGGCGGCGGTTTTGCAACGCGCAGCTCCCTCTCCCGGGCTGTTTGCTGGGGTTGTTGACATGCTGGGGCAGTTGGGAGGTGGTCACATTTTTGAGGGGCGGGCTGCATTTCCCAGCTCGGGCTTTGCCTGGACCCAGTCCAGGGCAGTGTGGGCTGCTAAGGAATCCTTGTGGATGTTGATTTCCTTTTGGAGCCAAGCCCCTGCTGGTCTCTTGCCTGGGGGAGCAGGGCTGGCTCCCCTGTTCAGTCAGGGATTGCACAGCTGCTGGCTGGGGGGTCTGTGGAAACTGGTTCCGTGCCCCCCCCTGCAAATCGCAATAGCTTTCCCATCTGATCTCTCCGGAACACAAAGCAAAGGGGATCAGGGCTGATTGGCTCCAGGCCACATTTAGATTCATGGCCCGGTCAGTGAGAGCAGATGGACACAACACTGTCCCTGCAATTGTCTGGCGTGGTTTGGGGTTTTGCCGTCTCGTCTGGGAGCGTGCAGGGCTGCGCCATGGCGGGGTCCCTTTGGGGAGGGGGTTAATGGTCACCCCCCACTTCCTGTTCATGTGAGGTGCAGCTGGCTCGCTGGGCAATGTTGTGGTGAGCCATGGCTCTCATGTGGCCCTCATTCAGCAGCATGTGCAGCATTACCCAGTTGGCTTGGCCAGAAGCTGGGAATGGCCGACAGGGGATGGACCACTTGATAATTCCCTGTTCTGTTCATTCCCTCTGGGGCATCTGGCATTGGCCAGGGGCCTTGTAGTGGGTGTTTGGAGTTGGTGCTGGGGAGAGTCTCCCGGGGACAGCTATCAGCCCTGGGCAACTTGAACTTCACTGCTGCTTCCCACGCCGGACCTGATGCTCATAGGTTTGGATCCAGGTGCATGTTTCAAAATCCCCTCCCAGAGCTGCCCCTCCTCCTCAAGGGAGGATGGTCCAGTGGCTAAGACGCTGGTCTAGGACTTAGGAGCTGTTAGTTCAATTCGTGGCTTTACCATAGACTCCCTATATGACCTTGGACACTGCGCCTCTCTATGCCTCAGTTTCCTCACCTGCAAAATGCAGATAAGAATCCTCCCTTTTCCCCACCCACTCCTTGCAAGCTCTAGAATAGGGACTGTCTCTTACTATATATGTGTACAATGTGTCCTCATCTCAGAGTGCATAGGCTTTAGGAGCTAGGCCAGCCACAAAAATTAGGTCCAGGTAACGGTTCCAGGTCCCTTTCCCTCAGTGGATTATTCTATACACCTAAAAATTGATTCACCCATAACTAAAATGCACCTGTTGTTTTACTCATAACTGAAATGCAGCCACTTCTGGGGTGGGATTGTGGCAGCTGGTTAACAGCTCATAACAACACTACACAACAGTGTGGGAAAAGGAGACTACCCTAATTTCTAACCCCAGACCTGCCCATCTCGGGACTGCCGTCCCACAGCAGTTCCTTGCTAAGAAGTACCATACGTTGCACTATTATTTATGTGTATTGCGGTAGCACGTAGAAGGCTCCGTCGTGGGCCAGAGCCCCATTGTGCTAGGTGCTTTTATAAACACAAGAGGGCCTTGTGCCAGGCCCTGAAAGCAGTTCTACTGGCGTGACTATACCGACCTGATGGATGTGTTCGTTGATGCAACTGAGGAACTGTCAGACTGGATCCCAAAGTTCAGCCTGAGGGAAATTTTCAAGGCACAAATGGAAATGCCTTTGAAAGTTCCCCCCTTTGTGTTTGAAATAAAAAGGGGTAGACTGGAGACTTTCCTTTCGCTGTTAGCAGTGTAGGGCCTAAGACACACACTGGAGCAGTTGAGAGTCCATCCAGCACAGGGTGTTGGTACCTGTGTGTATGCATGCTCACACACACTATGGCTAGCGGGATCTGTTTCCACGAACTGGAAGAACTAGTCAGCAACGAGAAGTACACAAGGTCCGAAAGACTCTTTCAGTTTCCCATGAGACTAGAACCTTGGGTGAGATCCGATGGTTGCGTGGCTCTTAAACCCTTTGATAACACAGGGCCAGCCCTCGTGGCCAGCCCCGCAGGTTGCCTGTGTGCATATGTACACAAACACACACTCTCCTTCCAGCCATGGGAGGGAAAGGGTGAAGGCTGTCCAGCCTGATGCTTTGTAGTCACTAAGCTAAGGGAAGGAATAGGATTCTTCTCCTGACAGGTTTCCCTTTCACCGGGACCCCCTTTCTGCACTGCTGTGTTGTGAGTAATAATTTAGGCCTCAGGTACTTAAGGGGCCGCCGCTTCCCATATGTTGCTCCAAGCACCTGAGCTCCCCTGGCCTCTCTCTGCTCTCTGCTGGAGACCAAGCTGGGGCAAGTTCAGCTGCCCAACCGTCCCCTCCCTCATGAGGAAAGTGCCATCGCACCTGGGGAAACTGAGTCACTGAGGTTATTGTGCTGAGAAGAGCCGAACTCTGCGGCCTGTAGGCTTGGGGCACCCTGCCTCCCTCCCTGCGGCACTATTCTGTGGACTGAATCCTTTATGCCCAAGGTACTTAAGGGACCGTCTCACACTCCTTCCATCGAGCCGAGACAGCTGGGCTTCCTCTGCCCTGTCGTAGCTGATTCGAGTCTGTGCAGGGCCAGTCAGGCTGGGATGTCTCTTGTAACCCCTTCCGCGACCACACACGAGGAGAGGGTGGGTGTTAGGGTCCAAACACCTGAGGAGCACAGCGATTAACAAATCCAGCTGTGAGGTCGCGGCTGTCACTAGGGTCCGCATCATGGCCATTCTGACCTCCACGGGGCAACAGGACTAGAACTTGGGTCGTCTTTTCCCCCAAGTGCTTAAGCTAAAGGAGACTCTCTAGAGGCCATTTGAAGTAAAGGGGGAGTGACACGCACTTGAGCAGTTCTGATTCCATCCAGTGGGGGACGGCGGCATTGGCCCATATACATTATCAGTTCAGGATGACACGGCCAGCTGCTGGGCCCGGACTGGATCCTATCGGGGCAGGGTTGCCCAGTGGGAGACTGGAGGCCTCAGAGCCTGTGGGAGACTGGGGGTAACCTCTCCAGTCAGGGGACACAGAGCCCCCTGCCCCTGTACTGCTGGAGCCGGAGCCCAGGAAGGCTGCATCAGTGGGGCTTGGGTCCCCGGGGCAGTGACCCCAGGGGCTGATTCATTCCCAGATACACGGAGTTACTCACGGGGGAGGCATTCGCAAGTGAGGGCTACCCCAAACTCCAGTGTGTCACTGTGTGTGTGTGTGTGTGGGGGTCATACCCAGTGTGTGTGTGTGTGTGGGGGGGTCATACCCAGTGTGTCAGTGTGTGTGTGTGTGTGTGGGGGGGTGTCATACCCAGTGTGTCAGTGTGTGTGTGTGTGTGTGTGTGGAGTCATACCCAGTGTGTCAGTGTGTGTGGGGGGGGGGGGTCATACCCAGTGTGTCAGAGTGTGTGTGTGTGTGGGGGGTCATACCCAGTGTGTGTGTGTGGGGGGGGTCATACCCAGTGTGTCTGTGTGTGTGGGGGGGGTCAACCCAGTATGTCAGTGTGTGTGTGTGTGGGGGTCATCAGTGTGTAATGTGTGTGTGTGGAGGGGGGGTCATACCCAGTGTGTCAGTATGTGTGTGTGTGTGCGGGGGGGTCATACCCAGTGTGTATGTGTGTGTGTGTGTGTGGGGGTCATACCCAGTGTGTGTGTGTGTGTGGAGGGGGGGTCATACCCAGTGTGTCAGTGTGTGTGTGTGGGGGGGTCATACCCAGTGTGTCTGTGTGTGTGTGTGGGGGGGGATCATACCCAGTATGTCAGTGTGTGTGTGTGTGGGGGGGTCATACCCAGTGTGTGTGTGTGTGTGGGGTCATACCCAGTGTGTCAGAGTGTGTGTGTGTGTGTGGGGGGGTCATACCCAGTGTGTCTGTGTGTGTGTGTGTGTGTGTGGGTCATACCCAGTGTGTCTGTGTGTGTGGGGGGGGTCATACCCAGTATGTCAGTGTGTGTGTGTGTGTGTGGGGTAATACCCAGTGTGTCAATGTGTGTGTGTGGAGGGGGGGTCATACCCAGTGTGTCAGTATGTGTGTGTGTGTGGGGGGGGTCATACCCAGTGTGTCAGTGTGTGTGTGTGGGGGGGTCATACCCAGTGTGTCTGTGTGTGTGTGTGGGGGGGGATCATACCCAGTATGTCAGTGTGTGTGTGTGTGTGTGGGGGGTCATACCCAGTGTGTGTGTGTGTGTGGGGGGGGAATCATACCCAGTATGTCAGTGTGTGTGTGTGTGTGGGGGGTCATACCCAGTATGTCAGTGTGTGTGTGGGGGGGTTATTCCCGCTGGGATAACAGCCAGCAGCCGCATGTCCCAGGGCATCTCATGGGGCAGCTTACAAGCAGTAACCTAAACCCTGAGCTGGCATTTTCACTCCCATTGACTTTCAACTGGTAGGCTTCCCTGGGAATCCCAGCTCAAATCTCCTCTGCACCTGAACAGAGCTGTGTGCTGGGAGCAGGTGAGCGAGAAAGTGCAACGGGTCACTTTATACCAT